CTGTAATCCCAGCACTTTGGGAGGCTGAGGCAGGAAGATCACAATGTCAGGAGTTCGAGACCAGCCTGGCCAAAATGGCAAAACCCCATCTCTACTAAAAATACAAAAATGTGGCAGGTGCCTGTAATCCCAGCTACTTGGGAGGCTGAAGCAGGAGAATCCCTTGAACCCAGGGGGCAGAGGTTGCAGTGAGCTGAGATCACGCCATTGTACTCCAGCCTGGGCGACAAGAGCAAGACTCCGTCTCAAAAAAAAACACAAAAGAATCTCTCTTTTTCTCAGTGCTGGACTAAATGATCTCTCAAGTCTCTGTTGCAGCTTTAACATTCTGTGTTTCATCTTGTGCTTCTGAGAGATCTTCCTACAGCAAGAAGGGGAATTTAAATCATATCTTTATAGAGGCTCAACGTCCTTATCTCTAAAATGGGGATAATGCCACCTTTGATGTGAGATGAAATAGGAAAGTGACATGAAATTAATAAAGTGCTATAGAAATTAAGTTATTATAATCATCACACTATGCAATTAATTCCCAGGAGGTTCTACCAAGAAACAGCAACCTGGAATGACAGGTGAAAGAAGGTTAAAGTGGGAAAAGTGAAGCTTCTCCCAAAGGAAGAAAATATCAGCTTCACCTTAAAGTTTCCAAGCTTATAGGCATGAATGAACTCTGAGAGAATCAGGAGCTGAATCTCTCGAGAGCAAGAGATTCTCAGAACAGTCACGCAGAGCCAAGGAAGAAACGGAGATAATAACAATAAGTGCCTGCATTATGTGTGAAAAGCACCTTGGTCCCCAAGCACAAGGCACTTTCTACTTTAAAGGAAGTACAAGGTGTGTTTTCAACCCAGTGAAAACTAAAAAAGGAAGAAAAAAACTTAGCAATATTTTTGCAAAAATTTGGCTATTATTTTATTATTTTTCCAGTCCCCCTCCTCCCCTGCCACAACCTTTAGAGGTAAACCAAATACCCACATTTTTACAGATGAAAAAAAACAAAGGCTTAGAGAAGTTACTTGTCCTGGGTTGTGCAGCTGGTAACCACTGAAGCTGGGATTTACACTCAGGACTCTGTATCTGATTATTTTTCTCACCAGGTAAAAGGGGAGAGAGTATGGGGGCAGACACAATATTCCTAACCTTTTGGGAGCATAGCTTAATTCTCTGGAAGTAACCTTGGCATCTAGGGTCCACCTAACATTTGAAAAATACAAGTGCTACCACAGCAACCCACCAGGAGTCAAAATCCAGCAAAATGACGTCTGGATTTATAAAGAGATAAGTTGGGTTAAAAAAGAATCTAAGGGTTGGACAGGCACAGTAGCTCGTGCCTATAATCCCAACACTTTGCAAGGCCGAGGCAGGCAGACCACTTGAGCCTAGGAGTTCGGGACCAGCCTGGGCAACGTGGCGAAACCCCATCTCTACTAAAAATACAAAAAGTAGCTGGGTGTGGTGGCACACACCTGTAATGCCAGCTACTTGGGAGGCTGAGGCATGAGAATCCCTTGAACCCGGGAGACAGAGGTTGCAGTGAGCCAAGATCACAACACTGCACTCCAGCCTGGGCTACAGAGCAAGATTCTGTCTCAAAAAAAAAAAAAAAATCCAAGGATTGTGTGCTACAAATGCTGGGAAAGTACTGACTCTCAAGTTCCCATTGTGGGGAAAGAGAGAGAGCAACCTGTCACAGGTGAGTGCTCATGACAGAAAACCCAGGGGCAGTCTTCATCCCCAGCAAGGCCAGTGGGTGGGAGACTGGTGTGTCACAGGAAGCAGCAGAGACTCCACTCAGGAGGGATGGGTGGGAAGGAGGGGATACAGAATTCAAAGCCCGAGGAGCAATAAGCCCTAACACCTGGCTGGCCACATGTGGTCACAGATCCTGTACTGCTTTTCAACTTACTGTGTGGAGGTGCCACGCCAATTCCAACAAGACCATTCCCTTTCATTCCTCCTGGTCCAGGCTAGACTCTGCCCCAAAGCCTCTGTGGCCAGGGCCAGCACCCTCAGACTCTGCTCAGACGCTGCTCCTCCTCAGTGACAAGGAGAAATGGTAATCACAACTGTGGCCTCAACTTCTCCCTTCCTTTCTCAACAGACCATCAACTTTGCAGACCCTTGAGAATTAAAGGCCTGCCAGGGATAATCTCAACTTTGGAAAGTTGGGCTACCAGGCAAATCTGCAGCAATAGAAGCTGCTTCGTGATTTCCCTTAAATTCAACCAAAAAGGTTGGCATGGAGGTTTACACATCAAAGCTAAGTGTTTCTATTTCCTTTCCTAGGACATACACTGGGATGATCCTCATTCAGACTCTCACGCTCAAACCATGAGCCCTGTGAGGATCTCATATGCTAGGAATGAATCACTGTCGACCTCCCTTAAAACCACAGACTTGAACACAACTTGATTTGAACAAAGACCCTCCTCCCCACCTCCCTCCAGCTTCCCAACCCCCATCCCCTTCATCTGCCTTTCCCCCCAGCCACATTAACTACTCAGAAACACAGTCACTCCACTCTAGAGTTACTCAGGAATCACATTCTTAGAATAACTCATCAATTATACCTGTCAACTTGCCAAAAGTGCCACAGGGGAGGTGGAAAGTCTAGACTGCAATGAACTGCAGCACCACAGCACCCCTGTTCACAGAAGGCCCCAACTTTGCAAATGCCTTTGCAGGCTCACAAGAAACAAGAATCCAAGGAAATACAGGAGCACTGGGTTAGAATGCAGACACTATCACCAAGTTACTCTCAGGCCCAGGGTAGGACATGGATCTCTCCATTTCTCTACTTGTAGGACAGGAAAACCTGCACAAGTCTGCTAACAGAATGTTCTGCCATACAAAGCCTGGGTTAGGAAACATTAAAAAGAAATGTCACTGTATTATTTAAATATGCACACAAGCTCATCGTCAATAAAAGTGCTGCCAAGAAAGCAGCGCCATGACAGACATACTTTTTAATTAATTGGCATGGATCATTAGTAATTAGAACATTTATTGTATGCAAATGCTGCTAACTGTGAAAAGTTTACTCTCTTAAGCAGGGTAAACATTCACATGAACACCGTTTGTGCTCCTAATATAGTTACAGAGCTCCTTTTTTCATGTGCGAAAAGGTAAGTTTTCTTTCAACTTAGACTGAAATGATTTAGAATCTACATTATCGAAGATCTTAATTAATAAGGTTTGCCCTTGATTCCAAAACTTTTGTGAACAGAACTCTTTTCCAAAAATATTTAATTGGGGGCCAGGAGCAGTGGCTGATGCCTGTAATCTCAGCACTTTGGGAGGCTGAGGCAGGCAGATCACTTGAGGCCAGGAGTTCAAGACCATCCTGGCCAACATGGTGAAACCCCGTGTCTACTAAAAAATACAAAAATCAGTTGGGCATGGTGGCGCACACCTGTAGTCCCAGCTACTTGGGAGGCTGAGGCAGGAGAATCGCTTGAACCCAGGAGGTGGAAGTTGCAGTGAGCCGAGATTGTGCCACTACACTCCAGCCTGGCAACAGAGCAAGACTCCATCTCAAAAAAAAAAAAAAAAAAATTAGCCAGGTGTGGTGGTACACACCTGTAGTCCCAGCTACTCAGGAGGCTGAAGCAGGAGAATCACTTGAACCCAGGAGGCGGAGGTTGCAGTGGGCTGAGATCACACCACTGCCCTCCAGCCTGGGCAACAAGAGTAAGATCTTGTCTCAAACAAACAAACAAATAAAAACCTCAATAAATGTCTGGAAGGGTAATCATGCAGTCAGATATGTATTTTTTTTAATATCCTGAATCTTCAACATCCCTGTAGAGCAGACTTTGCTCTTTGTTTGGTTTACAGTTTAACAAATCCTTAGATCAATGCCCTGTTTACCCCAACAGACCAAACTCCCAATTCCTCTAATCATCCAGGCTTCCAAGGGCTAGGTAAAAGCATATACTTTGGGGAGTCATATATAGTCCACTATGATGCTGAAGATTTAGGGGAGGAAAAGGCAATAGACTCCTGGTCACAATGCCAAGCAAGATTTCACACTGTTGTCCTCCTCATTAAGGCTCACCAATAAAGGCACCTCTCAACTTAACTTCCTCCTCGTCAATTTAGGCCCCATTATTCACTTCCCACAGAGCAGCTTGTTTACCTGAAGCACAGGGGGGCCGCGGCGATTGGAAAGAAGCAAGCAGTGCAAGTGAGCAAGCCCGGAGCACAAAGAAAACAAGGGGCCCGCAGGAGAGCCCTGTGGTAGCTCCTAATGAGGCTGGCACAATCAAGAAAGGGTTCCCCTTTTGGCTCCTCCCTTTCCAGTTGCGCTGGCCAAGGTATTTCTTCTATCTGCTCCCCGACCCCTAGCTTTTTTTTTTTTTTTCAAGACAGGGTCTCGCTCTGTTGCCCAGGCTGGAGCACACTAGCACGATCACGGCTCACTGCAGTTTTGACCTCCCAGGCTCAGCAATCTTCCCACCTCAGCCTCCCGAGTAGCTGGGACTAGAGGCATGTGCCACCACACCTGGATTTTTTTTTATTAGTAGTACTATTTGTAGAAACAGGATCTCACTATGTTGCCCAGGCCAGTCTTGAACTCCTGGGCTCAAGCCATGTCTCACCTCAGCCTCCCAAAATGTTGGGATTACAGATAGGAGCCACCGAGCCTGGCCTTATTTTATCAGCCTTCTTACGTGAGGCTCCGTGTGAGCATTAAGAGATTTATTTTTCTCTGACAAACAAGAGCACCGCAACAGGAACAGAAATCTAATTCAACTTCAGTCACTGGATCACTATAAGACCTTGGAAAAGTCACTTCACCTTCCTCCCCAGCAATTCAATCTTAGGAACAGGAATCAGAAAAGTATTTGTCAGCCTCCTTCCCCATGGTGACAGGTGGATAATATCACCTCCACCCTAAATACCTCGCAGGGATGGAGAAGGATGGATGAGCAGGCATTACAGCCAATATTCTACTCGGTTGCAATAAACAACTCACCTTTTGGAGGTAAACGGTCTCTTTCCAGGGCACCAGGGGATCATTTAGCACTCTGGAAGAAGTAATTCGCTCTATGGTTCTCTGGTGTCCTGAAAAGTGTAATCCACCTCCAAAAGGTGAACCCTTATATCCCAGAGAATTTGTTTTCTCTGGGATCAGAATGCTTTAATGTTTTCAGTTTCAGGAAAAGGCACCACAGCTATCATTTTCTGGTCAAGAGAAGACTCTCCCCCCGTCCCCGTCCCCTCTCCTTACTGATCATCTCATACTCTCTTCCTCTCAAACAGAAACCAGATGAAACCATCTGCAAACAACTTGGGAATGCTGTGTGTGCGCCTGCAGAAACTTAAACAAAAATCCTTTCTCAGCCGCGCCCCCCTCCTCCTTCCCGTGGTTGTTAAGGGCCCGGCGAGTTAATGGGAACTTTTCTCGTCTCCCCTCCCTCCCCCACTGCCCCTCTCCCGCCTGGGTCCTCAGCATTTGATTCCTGTCTGTCACTGAGTGATGAGGACAAAGGGTGAGGAGTCAGGAAAAGGTCTGCGCCACTTTGTTCAGAGTCTGGATTCGAACTTTGGATGAACCCTTCATCGGGGAGGGGGCTGGGGAGGAGGGGAGAGGCCAGCAAGGAGAAATCCGCTGCTGTTCTCGCCGCTGGAGCCTCAAAAAAGAGAGAGATTCTCTTTAAACAACAGAAAGGAAAAAAGAGGGTTAGGAGGGTACAAACAGCCTCCCTCAGCCCCGTTAGGAAAAAGGAGGGCATGGTGGGGGCGGAGGGATAAAGGGGGCTGAGCTTAAGAAAACAGAAGGCCGGGGCAACGCGCTCAAACAAGGCTGTTGGGCCCATGCTGTGGGCGGCCAGCCAAGAGCTAGTTTGTTTCTTCCCCCTCCAGCCTCTCTCTCTCTCGCTCTTATTTTTTTTCCCCCTAAACCAAAGGGAATTCCTAATAAAGCCACAGTAGACTTGTAGAGAGCAAGGGGAAGGAAGAAGGAACCAGAGGTGGGGAAAAAAACAGATGAAACTCATTGCTTTCTGGAAGTCCAGAATAAAGAATATACATGCATATAAAATTATAGCACACTTCACCATATGCTTCAAAACTAAAAAAAAAAAAAAAAAAAAAAAAAAAGCTTAGTCCGGAGTGTATTTCTCTTTTTCCTCATCTCTCTGTGTGTGTGTGTGTGTGTGTGCATGTGTGTGCGCACTTACATATACCGGCTGGCAACTTTTACTGTGTGATTTCTCCCCCAAATCCTGTACTGTAGTTTTTAAAAAGCACTATTAACATACAGTTGAAGTCACAGCAAAAGCCAGTTTGTCTTCTTTGTGCTCAATAAAACCCAGCTGAAACTCTTTCACCTCCACTTACTATTGATTTTTCTATTGTGCTGTACAGGCGGCTGTATCTCACTCACTCATCAGACTGCCTTTCATTCTCTGAACCTCTCTGACTGCATCTGGATGTGAGGTTTTTCCTCCCAGCGATGGGTATCCTTGCTTCATTCAATCATTTGGGGCCCGCATGCAACCATGTAGTCACTTTTGGTTTGGCCTCTGTCCTTTGGTCTTTGCCCCCAGACTCTGGATTTCACTTCCAAAAAGATCAGGTGTCTATCCCAGCACAGAGGATGAGAGGTGACAGGACATCCTTGCATCCCAGGGCTTTCTCTTCTCTTCTTCCATAGAAAAATGGGATTTCAGTGACTGTGCAGGAGATTCAGAAAAGGGGTGGGGGATGAGAAGGAGGATCAGGGAGGAGTGTGCTGCTGCAACATCTGGCACCTGGTCTCTCTACCTCTCCTGGGGACACCCCCTGGTGTGGCGCGTGTGAGGCTGTATGTGCCGGACTGCTGCAAGTCAGAGCTCTGTGTCTGTGTGTGCCTCATCCTCACAAAACGATGTGAAGAAGAGAAGCAGATGGGTCAACAGGATTGACTATTCATTAATCTTCCGAGAAACTGGGTTAGGAAGTGAATCCGTGTATTTAAAACTTCTCATTTTGCATTCCTATGAATGGGAGAATAAACTCTACACTTTGAATAAAAGAGTGTGTAACATCCTTACTCTTAAAAAAAAAAAATCAGACACACAAAGATCATCAGCTAACAACAAAGAGGCAGATAAACCGCTGGGTGAATATACACAATACAGAAAGGGCTCCTCACCCGACAAAAGGGAGTGCTAGAAGTACAGACCTGAAAGGGACCTTATTAATCATTCATATCTAACCCCTTCACTTAGAGATGAGAGAGCCAAGACCCCCAATGTGTAAGCAACTTACCAAGTCACCACAACACTCTCCATAACACTCCCCTCTGGTGTTCCTTCTGTCATATACATTGCTTCCATGAAGCTAAGGAATGGACTTAAGTTTAGGGTAAGGATTACCAAAATCATACCCATACACTTTTTAGGAACACATCTACATAAAAGTGAAAGATAGCAGTATATCTTACCTGAAGATACAGCAGTAGTTGTAGCATCCTACATCCCAGTTATGTAAAACCGGGAATGAGAAACAGGGACACACACACACACACAGGGCACACACACAGACAACACTCTGCCGCTCAACGTCAAGCACGGGCTTGCTATTTCGCTTGTATACCTCGTTATGCATGACATCCTTACACCGCAGAGCCGCTGCTGAAATTGGGTGTGAGGTCGACATTCAAGTCTCATTCTCCATATAAAATCCTGGTGGACTGTTGCCACTGTTCTCTCTGTGGGCAGATAACCTCTATTTTCAAGCTCCCTCTGTGGATAATGGTCTCGACTCACCATCATCTGACTCTCAATCACACACACCTCTCTGCTCAACTCCCTTGGGATCTCCAGCTCCATATTCACTGCATGCCCCACCAATTCTGTGTTCAACAAGATTTCTAAATCTATGCCATGTTCTAAATCAGCCCTCCACATGCCTGCCAATCTGTGACTTCTTTCTCTTGCTTTGATTTTATAAGCAATTGTGACAATATAGGTTAACAAAGAAATCTTACAGTTACATGGTGCTTTATAATTTACAAAGCATTTTACACCCATCTCACTAGAGATTCACAACCTCCCTGGAGGTGGACAGGGCCTGGATAACGAGTGTAACTAGTGTCCCCATTACAGATCAGAAATTGTTCTGAGTGAGGTGCCCCCTCATTACCTATCAACTCAACAGTAGAACAGTCCAGTAATTGTTCCCCTGCATCATAATGCTGCTCCACACAGGCTCAGATGTTTCCATTTCACCTTGGAAATGAAAAGGGGAAAGCATGCATTTATTGAACACTTATCATGTGCCCAGTCCTGTGTTTGATGCTTGTTCTTGCAACAGGGTAACTTCAGCACGTTTACCATGAGCAGCTTCCTCTAGCACAGCAATGAAATACATGCACATGTGTCTTCTGCAGACAGTACACACCCCTTTGCTCTTCTTATTCCTGTATGAACACATTACAGCAATTAAGTCCACCAATGTAAACCCCTAAACATAAGATGTGTGGATCTGCCCGTAGGACTATGAGAGTGATCGCCTATTATTTAGTTCTTTCAACATATGTGTAGTACAGCACCTATCTGTGAATATTCAAAGTTGTACTGCCAGGTTCCCCAGTTGCTCTTCTCTCTTTTTTACTAAGTACTCCTGGAAAAAGCCATTTGTTGAATATTTGAATGAATGAATGAATGAATGTCATAAGCACTAATTTACTTATTCAAAGGATAGTATATAGAAGAGGTGAACCTATATACTGAAATTTATTTCATTAATTACAGAAAGGAAGGGGGTTCTTGTTTAAGAAAGGAATCCCCATGAACATTGGATGTAAAGAAAAAGTTTACAACCCAAAACACTAAAAGCTTCTCAGCTAGACATACATACACTGTTATTAGCTGCCAAGACGCCCCAGTCAGGATGGCAGCCTTGGCAACTAAGAATAACATAAATAAGAAATCTTAATAGATTGTGGTTCTTCTTAGGACATTGTTATTTAAATGCACTGGTTCTCAATGCCTGACTACCCTCCTCAAAGACTACAGCCAAGACTACAGTGAGATTCCTTGCCTGACACTGCCCCCCAACCCCAACCTCCCCAGACAGGTCTATAAATAGCAAAGCCACTAAAGCAAATGCTAAACCCAGCACTGAGTGGGGCTGATGAGGATGGAAGTTTGCAGGGAAAACTGAGCTTCTCACTACTCCTTACTCAGAAACATTAGAACTGCCCCGGGATTGGGGGAAGGATGTCCCCAGGGAATGACCCCAAAAAGTGACAGCCAAGTTTGAGATATCGCAGACTGTAGCTAGGAATTTTCACTAAGGGAGGAGGGGAGTGGAAAGAGGTGGGGAAAATTCTTCCTTCACTCTTCCCCAGGAAGAGGTTTAAATTACACATACTCACATTGGAAGGGGTTGAGGAAGGAGTGAGGAGGGTGCACAGAAAGATGTCCATTCCATTGTTTCGCTTGCCTCCGGTTCTACAACTTCTTTCATTGATGTCAAATTAATTAGTTAATTTCCATTTTTAGCTTCCTGGTGTTATTTATTTTATTACTATTATCATTACTAGCAGTAGTAGTAGATGGAAGAGTCCTTTTCTAGCATTTTGGTTCATCTGATGGGAGGAAAACTGGACAAAAGGTCAACATGAACAGACAGAAAATTAGTTTAACTTTTAAAAGAGGGGGAAAAAGAAAAGAGGAGATTTTACAGATGAGAAGAGACAGGCCATTCTGTGGAGGGGGATAAAAGGAAGGTACTGGAACCTGAGCCCTTGATTAGTTAAAGAAACAGCTGCCCCCTCGTGTCCGCCTCTCGCACTGGAAGGTCGTGTCCAGCCAGCTTCCTAGTCTGACTATCACTTGCCTTTACATGGTCCTCAGGGTGTCCTCTCTTGCACACTTCCCATTCTACCTCACCCCCATCTACTCCATGATACCCCTCTTACTCTTCACACCCCAAAAAACAAAATCTTAACTTAGAAAACAGAGAAGCTGTTCAAGAACTTCTCCCCATTCAATAACATGTTGATCCAAACCAGAAACCTTTCTCTCTGAGCACTTAACTGGAGTGATGCAATAGATCTAAAGAGGCTTTTCCATC